TACAATGTTAAAAGGTTAAAATTGTCATTATACATTAATTCTTAAAAAATTGAAATTTCTATAAAATCTATCTGTGTGGGACGGAAAGAATATTATTTACTTGTGAGACGACCATAGATGGACCTTTTTAATACCAATATTGCAGCCAGGTAGCACACTGGTTAGTGGTTACGATGTAAATTAGTTTAGTTGAAGTGTGGGTGACAAAGGAAATCTGAACGGAGGCTAATTTACGGTTTCGCCACTACATTTGTCAATTATTTTTATTTTTCTGTAATATCGGTCAATTATTGGGGCATTCTAATTGACTAATTCAATGAACGGGGAAAGTTGTACCAAACTGCCAACTTATTTCTGCACTTAAAATATTACTCGTAATAAAGTAAATATTTTCCTAGTCACTAAATTTATGACATCACTATATATTAAAAGGAATTACATGATCAAATTTCCAACATGTACCAATAATTTTTATTTATAAATCTTATTATCTACTTAAATTATTAAGTAAATAAAACATATACTCACAAGTCACAATCTACTACATATCTTCATAAAATCCAAACATTTAACTTTTTCATTGCTTTTATATATTGGTTTTTTAAAAAAGGAAATTATTGTCTGTCAGTTTCGGGTTTTGATTTATTTTTTTATAGTTAAAACTGTATTTTATATATCAAAATATTTTTTTTTTTTTTTTTTTTTTTTTTTTTTTTTTTTTAATTAGTTAATATTCATTTAAATCTTCCCATATGGGCTTGGAAAAAGCCTTACAAACTATGACCTAGTTACAAAAAAGCCTAATAAGAAATTTGCCGGAGACAGATTTGAAGGATCGAACCCTGCTGATGGACGACTGCACGGTGGCCGGAGCATTAGATCCGGTGAACCCGAGATACCCAACTTCACAGCAGCGTCGATAGATCGAAAAAACCAGTCGGAAGGGTTCAATTCCCAACCGCGATCTCTTTCCGTCGACACGCTAGATCCGCCAGAGATCTCCCGGAAAGCTAGCCGCCGCGACAACCGGTTCTACGGAGTCGGGTCCCGACCTAGCAACCCAACCCATAGATTTATCCCCTTCCTTCCCTCTTGTCGTCCTGGCGTGTA